CCTATCAGTGGACTTGGCAAGGGGCACGGTGGAGAGGAGGGAGGGAGGGAGGGACTGGGAGGGAATGAGGGATCGGGACACAGCTGGGGTACATAGTTAATAAAATGTAACTGATAAGAAAAAAATAAAATACGAAAAAAAAAGAAACAAACAAAAAAAAGACTTGGAGAGGACAGGAGCTCCACAAGGAAGCAACTGATCCAAAGAATCTGGGAATAGGGTTTTTTTTTTCTGAAACTGATACTCCAGCCAAGGACCACTCATAGAGATGGCCTGGAACCCCTGCACAGAGGTAGCCTATAGCAGTTCAGTATCAAAGTGGCCTCCATAGTAATGGGAACAGGGACTCTCTCTGACATGAACTGATTGGCCTGCTCTTTGGTCACCTCCCCCTGAGGGGAGAGAAGCCTTACCAGGCCACAGAAGAAGAAAATGCAGCCACTCCTGATGAGATCTGAGAGACTAAGGTCGAGGGAAGTGGAGGAGGACCTCCATTTTCAGTGGACTGGGAAAGGGACATGGGTGGGGAAGAGGGAAAATGGGATTGGAAAGGGAGGAGGTAGGGGAATACAGGGCTGATACAAAGTGAATAAACTGTAATTAATAAAAATAAAAATAATTAATAAAAAATAAAAAGATTAAAAAAGAAACTCCCCATCTCTATCAATCACTCATTATTGGTATTCCTATCAGTCAGTAAACTAGAAGAAACTTTCCCTCTACTTAGTGTTCTTTGGGATAGGAGAAAGTCATTCTGTTATGCTAAAAGGCACGTAACTCTTTGTGGAATGCAGTTGTAGCACTCATGGCTCATGAGTGAATTCTCAGAAACAATGGGAAACATGGATAGACTTTCTATCCTAACTAACATTTCCCTTAGAGAAAAATTTAGTAATGAATACTAATTTGCAGGAAGAAGTGCTAATTTTCACAGTAGTAGAAAAAAAAGTTAGTAGATATGATAATATTTACATTAACATTGTAACAGTAACCATTAACATTTCAGAAAATCAAACAAAAGCATTTTGGAAGTTTACAACATACATAAATACTAAATACATAAGATCATGTGCATATTTTGATTTAAACATTACAAAATGTACACACAAATGTGTGAATGTAGGGTGAGTTGTGTGTGTGTTTCTCTCTGTGTGTGTAAGCATGTGTCTGTATACGTGTCTTAATATGTGTGTGTGTTAACTCTTAACTCCACTTTTCTAACTGTGTTATTTTCGTGTGTAATTCCTACTATCTGGTCTTTTTTACCCAGATTACTGTAATGATCTTAGGTTCATTATTTTCCTGTAAGGCAGAATGTGCCTTTATATTTATAGAATGCAAGAATTAAAATCATTAAAATTGTGTATTTGAAAGAAAAAGTCAGTATTATAAATTTTAGTGTATGTTTACATCTTATTTTTATTTAAAGGGAGGAAACACTACATTATAAATGTAGAAATCAGAAAAAACTTGAAGTAAATTTCTTCTTGTACCTTGTGAGAGTTAAGAAAGGAACAAAGGTCATCTGGATTGAAAGAAAGCAACTCTATTTCCTGAGCAATCTTGTTACACCAATATTTTGAATTTTTGAATTTATTTTTAATTTCACTAATTACAGTTTATTCACTTTGTATGCCCCCTGTAGATCTCCCTCCTACCCTCCCAATCCCATCCTACCTTTTCCTTTTCCACCCATATCCCTCCCCCAGTCCCCAGATAGGAAGGTCTTCCTTCTGATTCTACTCTATCAGGTCTCATCAGGAGTGGTTGCATTGTCTTCCTCTGTGGCCTGACAAGGCTGCTCCCCCTTCAGGGGGAGCTGTTCAAAGAGCAGGACAATCAGTTCATGTCAGACAGTCACTATTCCCATTACTATGGAACCCACTTGGACACTAAACTATCATGGGCTACATCTGTGCAGGGCAGGTTATTTCCATGAATGGTAATTGGCTAGAGTATCAGTCTCAGAAAAGACCCCTGGACCCAGATTTTCAGTTCTGTTGCTCTCCTTGTGGACCACCTGTTCTCTACAGGTATTACTATTTCCCACTTCTTTCATAAGATTCCCTGCACTCTGCCCAAAGTTTGGTCATAAGTCTCAGCATCTGCAGGGTAGAGTCTTTCAGAGGCCCTCTGTGGTAGGCTCCTGTCTTGTACCCTATTTTCTCCCTCTTCTAATGTCCATCCCTCTTTGCCCTTCTGAATGGGGATTGAGCATGTTAGCCAGAGTCCTCTATTTTTGATTAGTTTCTTTAGGCATTCAGATTTTAGTATGTTTATCCTATCTTATATACCTAATATCCACTCACAAGTGAGTATATACCATTTGTGTTTTTCTGCTTCTGGGATACCTCAAGCAAGATGATCTTTTTCAGTTTCCAGCATTTAGCTGCAAATTTCATAATTTTCTTGTTTTTATTGCTGAGTGATATTCCATTGTTTAAATGTAACACAATTTCTGTATCCATTCCTCCACTGAGGGGCATCTGGATTGTTTCCAGCTTCTGGCTATTACAAACAAGGCTGCTACAAATATGGTTGAGCAAATGTCCTTGTATACTTGAGCATCTTTTGGATATGTGCCTAGGAGTTGTATAACTGAATCTTGAGGAAGCACTATTTCTAATTGTCTGAGAAAGTGTCAAATTGATTTCCAAAGTGGTTGTACAAGTTTACATTCCCACCAGCAGTGGAGGAGGGTTTCCCTTTCTCTTCATCCTCTCCAACATGTGTTGTCACTTGAGCTTTTGATCTTAGCCATTCTGATGGTTGTAAGGTGAAATCTCAGTGTCATTTAGATTTGCATTTCCCTGATGACTAAGAACGTTGAACATTTCTTTAAGTGTTTCTTGGCCATTTGATATTCTTCTATTGAGAATTTTGTTTAGCTCTGTACCCCATTTTTTAATTGAATTACTTGATTTGTTGCTTTTTAACTTCTTTAGTTCTTCATACATTCTGGATATTAGCCCTCTGTCAAATATGAGGTTGGTGAAGATTATTTCCCAATCTGTAGGCAGTCATTTTGTTCTGACAACAGTGTACTTTGCTTTACAGGAGCTATTCAGTTTCATGAGGTCCCATTTATTGATTTATGCCCTTAGAGCCTGTGCTGTTGATGTTTTGTTCAGAAAGTTGTCTCCTGTGCCAATGAGTTCAAGTCTCTTTCTGACTTTTTCTTCTAACAGGTTTAGTGTGCTGGTCTAAGTGGATGTCTATATGTAGGAAAATGCAAATAGATCCATACTTATCACCCTGAACAAAACAAAATCCAAGTGGATCAAAGACCTCACTATAAAACCAGACATACTAAACCTGTTAGAAGAAAAAGTGGGGAAGAGTCTTGAACTCATTGGCACAGGAGACAAATTCCTGAATATTTTGAATTTTTATCAACACAATATTCTTTTATTTTTCATGCTGATAAGATTGACACCACATATTCTATTTAAAGTACTACTTGATAAATTTAAAACTAATAGCTTCCACACTTTTATTATATTAATCTGTGAATTTAAAATAAAACAATGTTATTTTTATGATTTTCATCCAAAAACTAAATATAAAACTATTGTCTGACATTATTTTATATGTGTTTAACTTGATATTTATAAAGGATACTGTCAGTATGTTGTCAACCATTGCTATTGGTTAATATTTTTAACACTACAAACATTGGTTTGTGTGAGTATAATTCCATATCAGAAACTGAAGAGATTTTTAAACATAAATTAAGGAGCAAATTAACACCAGTATTTTACACTATTTAGGTAGGCTCAAAAAAAAAAAAAAAAGATCTTTTGTCGCTTTATCACAGCCCTTCATTTTCACCAATAAAACTTTAAATATATTTAAATTTATTGAAAATTTATCAAAAAAGTTAACAATGTCCATCCTCTTTGCCTTTTGGATGGGGATTGAGCATTTTAGTCAGGATCTTCTCTCGTAATTAGTTTCCTTAGATGTACGGATTTTAGTAGGTTTATCATATGCTATATGTCTATATGAGTGAGTATATACCGTGTATGTCTTTCTGCTTCTGGGACAGCTCACTCATGATGATCCTTTCCAGTTCCCACCATTTACCTGCAAATTTCATGATTTCCTTATTTTTCATTGCAGAGTAATACTCCATTGAGTAGATGTACCACAATTTCTGCATCCATTCTTCAGTTGAGGGGCATCTGGGCTGTTTCTAGCTTCTGGCTATTACAAATAAAACTGCTACAAACATGGTTGATCCAATGTTCTTATTGTGTACTTGAGCCTCTTTTGGATATATGCCTAGGAGTGGTATGGCTGGATCTTGAGGAATCACTATTTCTAGTTGTTTGAGAAAGCGCCAGATTGATTTCCAGAGTGGTTGTACAAGTTTACATTCCCACCAGCAGAGGAGGAAGGAAAACAGGAAACAACCTAGAAACCTGCCACAGAGGGCCTCTGGAAGGCTCGGCACTGCAGACTATCAAAGCGGACGCTGAGACTTATGGCCAAATGTTGGGCAGAGTACATGGATCTTACGTAAGAAGTGGGAAATAGTAAGATCTGAAGAGGACAGGAACCCCACAAAGAGATCAACAAAACCAGAAAATTTGAACACAGGGGTATTACCAGAGACTCATACTCCAACCAAGTACCATGCATGGAGATAACCTAGGATCCCTGCACAGATGTAGCCCATGGAGGTTCAGTGTCCAAATGGGTTACATAGTAATGGGAAGAGGGACTGCCTCTGACATAATCTGATTGGCCTGCTCTTTGATCACCTTCCCCTAAGGGGGGAGCAGCCTTACCAGGCCACAGAAGATGACAATGCATCCACTCCTGATGAGATCTGATAGACTAAGATCAGAAGGAAGGAAAGGAGGACCTCCCTTATCAGTGGACTTGGGGAGGGGCATGTGTGAAGAATGGGGAGGGAGGGTGGGATGAGGAGGGGAAGAGGGAAGGGCTTAGGGAGGATACAAAATGAATAAAGTGTAATTAATAAAATAAAATTAGTGCTCGCTTCAGCAGCACATATACTAACATTGGAAAGATACAGAGATAATTAACATGGTTCCTGCACAAGGATGACATGCAAATTCATAAAGTGTTCCATATTTTTTCCCAGGTGAGACGATACCCCACGGTGGGGGATAAAATCAGCTTTTAACTCACCCGGCTAAACCGCGGAAGAGATCCCGGTTCCGCCAGACTCTAGGTCAGTTGTCAGCCTAGAGAGAAGTACACAGCTTCTGAACCAAAGCGGCACCCCAAGCCACCTTCCCAGACTGAACTGTTCTCACCACAACATTAGAGACTGGAACCCCCAGTCGAGAGATAACCCCACCGTGCAAGAAATGATTGGGACCAACCTTAGGTCACCCAGACATCTCCTGGAAAAGACTCCAGTTCCTCAGGCGCCCCAGGAGCCAGCCCAGAGCCAGAGCTGGGGACCCAGGCTCCAGCACAGAGCCCTGCCTATGTGCCTGATTCACTGCCTCAGATAGAACTGTGGGCCCCAGGGCACCAGAGACTTAGTTTCACTGTCGGGTGCAAACCTACAGGGAGGGAATTGGCTGGTCTAATCTCAGAACACTCAGCTGACACCCCCACCCTGAAAAGGTCTTGGGAAAATTTCCCAGTTTAGGCAGACGCCCAGACTCCCAAAGGACAGAAAGACAGAACCAAATGCATCTGTGCCTGCGGGTTCTCCTCGCCATCTCAGAAAGAACAGCGGTCCCCAATCTGACCCAGAAAGGGACACACACTGCCAGCCCAGATCAGAGCATAGAGCCTCTGGACCAAAGCGGCATCCTCAGCCACCATCCCAGACCTGGGTGCACAGTGTCTGGACTAGAGTGGCACCCGCAGCAGCCATCCCAGGCAGGGACACACAGCTTCCTGCCCAGTGTGAGGCACCCAGCTTCTGGACCAGAGTGGAGCCCTCATTGCCAGCCTAGAGAGAATTGCACAGCTTCTGAACCAAAGCGGCACCCCAGCCACCATCCCAGATCGGGATGCACAGCATCCAGACCAGAGCGGCACCCTCAGCCGCCATCCCAGACAGGGACACACAGCTTCCAGCCCAGAGTGAGGCACCCAGCCAACAGACCAGAGAGGAGCCCGCAGTTGCCAGCCTAGAGAGTCGTGCAAAACATCCAGACCAGAGCGGTGCCCCCAGGCGCACATTCTCCAGGCCCAAAACAGACCACTCAGCCCCTGGCCCAGAGACTTGCTGGGTGCTCCTCTCACCTTCCCAAACAGAATTGTGTGCCCCAGGATACCAGACTGAGTTTCCCTGTTGGGAGAAAATCTCACAACTAGGGAATCAGCAGGATCTTCAAGAGGGCTATACCTGGAAAACAATGAAACGACAACAACAACAGCTCACTAAATTCAGAATGAGAAACCCCGCAACAAGGCAACTATCTTGAGAACTTCTACAGGTGGGAGGAGAGACCCCTAACTAACAAAGACCACAGCTACTACTCAGGTCTATACACCTGAGGTGAGCAGCGGCAATTCCTGAGAAACACTGGCCATACAGTGACCATACCCAAAAAGCAGAGGAGGCCTCCTTCAGGAAAATCATCTTCTGGCCAAGGAGATTCTCCTTACCTCAGGACTCCAGGAAGCAAAGAAACTAACAGCCAACACCTAAAAGGGCCCAATGGGTAGAGGTCAGCATGAAAGCCAAACCAACAAAAGTCAGAGCAATATGGCATCTCCAGAACTCAGCCATCCAGGGGCGAGCAGCACTGGACAGCCCAGCATAATAGAAAATCAAGAAGTTGACCTTAATCTATGCTGATGAAGAGGATAGTAGAGGAAACAAATAAAATACTTAAAGATTTAGAGGAAGATAAAACCAAACAGATCATGGCTATCCATGAAGAAATGGAGGAAGTTAATGACAAGCAGATTATGGCCATCCCCGAGAAGAAATACAGGAAGATGCAGCCAAACAGTATGGAGCCTTCAGAGAAGAAATAATTAAATCACTGAAAGAAATAAAAGAAACAGAGCTGAAGGAACTAAAAGAAAAAACAGGAAAATACAACCAGACAAGTGAAGGAAGTAAACAAAACAACTCAACAACTCAAGATCTGAAGATAGAACTGGAAAAATTAAAAAAAAAAAACACAAATGGAAGAAATAATGGAGAGGAAGAATTTAGGGAAGAAAACAGGAACTAGACAGGTAAGCATAATCAACAGGCTACAAGAGATGGAAGAATCTCAGGTATAGAAGATACAATGGAAGAAATTGATGTATCTGTCAAAGAAAATGTTAAAACTAAAAAATTCCTGACACAGACCATCCAAGAAATCCAAGACAATATGAAAAGACAAAACCTAAGAATAATAGGAATGAATGAAAAAAGAAGAATCCCTCCTCCAATGCCCAGAAAATATTTTTAACAAAATCATTGAAGAAAATTTCCCCAAGACAAAGGAGAGGCCAATAAGAATACAAGAGGCCTACAGAACACCCAACAAATTTGACCACAAAAGAAAATCCTCCCACCACATAATAATCAAAACAGTAAGTATACAGAACAAAGAAAAAATACTAAATGCTGCAAGGGAAAAAGGCCAAGTAACATATAATGGCAAACCGATTAGAATCACACCAGACTTTTCAATAGAGAATATGAAAGCCAGAAGGGCCTGGACAAATATCATGCAGACCCTAAGAGAACACAGATGTCAGCCCAGACTACTATACCCTGCAAAACTCTCAATCCTCATAGATGGAGAAAACAAGATATTCAATTATAAAAACAAATTTTAACAATACCTACACACAAATCCAGCATTACAAAAGGCACTGGAAGGGAAAATACAACCCAAGAAAATTAGCTACTTTCAAGAAAACAGGAAATAATTAACCTTACTGCAGTAAAACAAAAAGCAACCAAGCACACAACCTTATGAACACAGCCAACATCAAAATCAAAGGCTCTAACAGCCACTGGTCATTAATCTCTCTCAACATCAATGGACTCAACTCTCCAATAAAAAGACACAGACTAACAGAATGGGCATGTAAAAAAAAAAACCAGCAATCTGTTGCATACAAGAAACACACCTAAGACACAAAGATAGACATTACCTGAGGGTAAAGGGTTGGAAGACAGCTTTCCAAGCAAATTGACCCAAGAAACAAGCAGGAGTAGCCATTCTAATATCTGATAAAATAGACTTTCAAACAAAATTAATAAAAAGAGATGGGGAGGGACACTTCATATGCATTAAGGGAAAATTCCACCAGGAAGACATCACAATCCTGAACATCTATGCCGCAAATGCAAGGGCACCCACATTTGTAAAAGAAACATTCATAAAATTTAAACCACATATAGATCCCCACACATTAATAGTGGGAGACTTCAACACCCCACTCTCAACAAAGGACAGGTAAACAAAACAGAAATTAAACAAAGAAACAATGTCTTTGACAGAGGTCATGAATCAAATGGACCTAAAAGATATTTACAGAACCTTTTACACCAAAACACAAAATAATTTACCTTCTTCTCAGCACCTCATGGAACCTTCTAAAAAACAGACCATATAGTTCGTCACAAAGCAAGCCTCAACAGATACAAGAAGACTGAAATAATCCCTTGTATCCTGTCTGATCACCATGGAATAAAGCTGGACCCCAACAATAACAGAAATAGCAAAAAGCCTACATACACATGGAAACTGAACAACTTGTTACTAAATGACAGCTGGGTCAGGGAAGAAATAAAGAAAGAAATTAAAGTCTTCCTAGAACTCAATGAAAATGAAGACACAACATACCCTAACTTGTGGGACACAATGAAAGCAGCGCTAAGAGGAAAGTTCATAGCACTAAGTGCCTTCAACAAGAAATTCGAGACAGCTCTTTCAAGCAACTTAATGGCCCACCTTAAAACCCTAGAAAAAGAAGAAGCAGACACACCAAAAAGGAGTAGACAGGTGGAAATAATCAAAGAATCAATAAAACCAAGAGCTGGTTCTTTGAGAAAATCAACAAGATCAACAAACCCTAAGCCAAGCTAACTAAAAGGCAGAGAGACACCACAAAAACAACAAAATCAGAAATGAAAAGGGGGACATAACTACAGACACTGAGGAAATCCAAACAATCATTAGGACTTACTTCAAAATTCTATACTCAACAAAATTTGAAAACCTAAATGAAATGGAAAATTTTCTGGATTAATTTGACTTACCAAAGCTGAATCAAGACCAGGTAAATCAATTAAATAGTCCTATATCCCCCAAGGAAATAGAAGCAGTCATCAAAAGTCGCCCATCCAAAAAAGGCCCAGGACCATATGGTTTCAGCGCAGAATTCTACCAGACCTTCAAAGAAGAGCTAACACCATTTCTCTTCAAACTATTCCACAAAATAGAAACAGAAGGAATATTACCAAACTCATTCTATGAAGCCACAGTCACCTTGGTACCTAAACCTCACAAAGACTCAACAAACAAAGAGAATTTCAGGCTAATATGCCTTATGAACTCTGATGCAAAAATACTCAACAAAATACTTGCAAACCGAATACAATAACACATCAAAGATATTATCCACTATTACCAAGTAGGTGTCATCCCAGGTATGCAGGGTTGTTCAATATATGGAAATCCATCAATGTGATCCACCATATTAACAAACTGAAAGAAAAAAAAAAACACATGATAATCTCCCAAGATTCTGAAAAAGCATTTGACAAAATCCAACATCCATTCATGTTTAAAGTATTGGAGAGGTCAGGGATACAAGGCATATATCTAAACATAGTAAAGGCGATATACAGCAAGCCTATAGCCAACATCAAACTGAACGGAGAGAAAATTAAAGCAATCCCACTGCAATCAAGGACAAGACAAGGCTGCCCACTCTCTCCATATCTCTTCAACATAGTGCTGGAAGTCCTTGCTAGAGCAATAAGACAGTTGAAGGAGATCAAGGGGATACAGATGGGAAAGGAAGAAGTCAAATTATCACTATTTGCAGATGATATGATAGTATACATGAGTAACCCCAAAAACTCTACCAGGGAACTCCTACAGCTGATAAACACCTTCAGCAAAGTGGTCGGATACAAAATTAACTCAAAAA